TCATGGAGCCACTGCGAATTTCAACTGTTTTGTATCGGTTAATACACTACTGGTTATTGCTTTTTCCTCGGTCTGTGATGTCTTAGCCACTCGGTTTTTACTGAGTTTTGGAGATTGATTATCTCGTTTCGATTTATATCGGTTAATGCACTAATGGTTATAGTGTTTAAAAGCGAGTTATCCAAAACTCATTTTTCAGTCTACCTTTGATGTTATTCATTCGGTCTGCGATATCGTAACCACTCGATCATAACTCTAACATTATCTCTTATGTTTAAAAAGTTGTTTAACTTGGAAAAACAAAAAGAATTCATTTGTGGTTTATAAAAAAGTACAATATCAAGAGCAAAATCTGACTAAATTTTTAGTGAATTCTTACTGAATAACATCAATACTTAAATGGTAAAGCAAAATTTTGCTGAATCTGGCTGAATTTTTGAAGAAAAAAAAAATAATTATATAAACTTATAAAAAATTTAGTTAAACAACTTTCATATCCGTTAGTACCCAAATTTTTATCCAAAATAAACATGTGTATATATCAATTAATGATGGAAGAATTGTTCAATTTAGCGGAATTTATTTTTTGCTCCATTGGTGAATTTAACTGAATTTGTTGTTTTTTAATAGAATTGCTGATTTAGTTAAATATGAGATAATTTTTTTAGATCGTAAATGGTGTTGACGAGTTTGTTGAATCTAGTTGAATCTTGCTTTTTTTTTTCTTTTCATATTGCCATTTAGAAGAAATGAAAATTTTCTCATCTTTTATCTTTTTAGTATGTATTCATCACATTCTTCAAATTGTACAAATTCATCAAATGGTACAAAATATCTCACATTTTTTATATTCTTCCAATTATGCAGTTACCATTTGATGTCTAGGATTCTTTAAATTTTTGTATTGACATATCATGTAAGTATTCTACATTAATATTTCCAGTTGATACATACTAGGTTATATATAGATCAATTAATAACCTTACAAACAAACTTTGTTATTTATTTTAATTTGTGATGTAAAAAAATTAAACTACTCTCTCTTTCAAAATATAAGATGTTTTGGCTAAAAATGCGGATTTTAAGAAGCTATTTTTCTTTA